GTTCTGGTCCATCAGTCTGATCTGCTCATCCATCTCTCGGCAACGGGACTCTGCCAGCTCAGCTCGTTCCTCTGTGCGTTCCAAGTCTCCTTCAATAATCACTAACTTAGGAGCCACCTCTTCATACTTCCTATCTGCTTCTTCTGCAATGTGCTTAGCTTCTTTGAGTTGGATTTCCAGGAGTTCCATCTTTTCTTCATCTTTTAGGGCCCGGTTTTCAATAACCTTCACACCTCTCTCACTCTCATCAGCAGCTTTTTCTGCTTCCTCCAGCTTTTGCAGGGCAATAGCAAGGCGCTCCTGAGCACGGTCCAGCTCCTCTTCAACCAGTTGGATCCTTCGGTTCAAGGAGGCTACCTCAGCCTCAGCCTGTTCCCGGGCCCACCTTTCTCCCTCAACTTCCCGCTGGAGGCGCTCAGCCCTCTCTTCGGCATCATCCGCTTGCTGCTGCAGAACCTGGATCTTGCGCTTCACCGCCTGGATGGTGGTGATCCCGGCCATGGTGCCCACCCAGCGGCGTCTTGTTATCTGCCTACTGCCTCCTCTCGGCCCTGCAGCCGCTTCTCCAAATCCCCTACATCTTAACATCATATTTGTTTTAGTTTTCCATCACTATAACAAAATATCTGATATAATTAACTTATATAGAGAAAAGTTTCATTTTGACTCACTGATTTAGTTTCCAGGCTATCATGAGGCAAATCCATTGCTTGGGCCCTGGAACAAGGCATTACATGATGGTGGCTATTTAACAAAACTAAACAAGAATAATTTCTGGGGACAGAAAATTATAGACAAATCTAACTTGTGAATATAGATATAAGAATACTTACTAAGAGACTAGAACATTGAATCTACTAAAATATTAAAAGAATAACAGAATATTACAACATAAGTAAATTTTATCCTTTTATTAATATATTTTATCATAAAGTTATTATATTAACAGATTAAAGGAGAAAAGGTACTTTATCATTTCAAAATTTTCCAGCATGTTTTTATAATTTACAACCTCCATACATAATATTTTTTAGTGTTCTCAGTAAGCTAGAGAGAGAATGATATTTCCTTATTTGGTGAAGAGAATCAATCCTATTTAATGTAGAGTCATTAAAAACATGTCTGCTAGAAATATATCACCACCAATATCTCTCAACATTGTAGCGAACGCGCTACTGCTTGAGCCACATCCCCAGCCCCATAAGTAACTTCCTCTTTATATTTTATCTCACAGTCTTTGGGCACAGTAAATACACAGTGACTGACTAGCAAGAAGAATAAAGAGGGAAACAGTCATGTATCAGAAAAGACTGAAGGAGACAAGTTAGTGAGAGTCTCAGTCTTTGCATGAGTAAATTCTCATATGAATACCTTCAATTTCAAAGTGGTAAAAATTCTAAAGAAGAATATTAAGTATCTCAAGAATTTCCAGTGAAAAGACGGAAACATCCCCCATATAAAACAACTTAACTGTGGTGAGTCTTCTGGATTTTTTTTTCCAGGATTTTTATTTATTCTTTCTATTTCTTTTCCCATAAATTCTCCCAAATACCCACTTCTCTTTCCTTAGCCTCATTTCTATTTGTTTCATTTTGGTTTTCCTCTTCTGTTTTCCTCCTCTCCTTCCTTCTTTCTCTCCTAAAACTAGAAGGTCTTTCCTTTCTCTTCAGTTAAATTTTTGCTGGGTTTTATGTCTAACTCAGCCATTGGCCTCTGTGGTGTGGGAATGACAGGTTCAGATGTTCAGACATGTACCGAGTACATTCCATATATGTGAAGAGTGAAAATTTGGGAATTAAATAGAACTGGGAGAGGCTCCACATTTCCTTGCCTCGTTACTCTCATCAGGAAGATGAGGACAATAGCAGCAGTTACCATAGTGCACTATTGTGCAGATTAAATAAGATTTTGCTTGTACAATGCCTAATTCAGAGTAGGCACTCAGCAAACAATACTTACTAGGGAACTATGTTTGAAAAGCAAGGAAGGAAGTAGAAAGGCTTACTCCAGCTTTCTCTCCTATTTTTTTCCCCTTTAGCCTAAAATCATAGAGAGGAAAGATAAGCCTGGGAAGGGCTTGTGGACAAAGCAATACTATATTGTAATTTAAATCTTAATACCCAATTTAGCTAGCAGATTAAAATCAGGGACATTGACATAAGTTTTTCTTTCATATGCCTAACTATAATTTCTTGCAGAAAAAATATCTATGCAACATTGAATTTGGAATAAGAAATTTCACAAGAGAAAAATTTTCAGGGAAAATGTTCTAAGACCAAGACTTCAGTGAAACAGACACATCAAGATTAATCTCTGACTGCTTAAGTTAGGCAAAAATTAAGATGTAGTTTCTTCCCTTGCCCACCCTAATATCAATATACTTCCAAGCTCTCAAAATTTAAGACAAGCTCTTGTGTTTCATACAATAAGTAAATAACAACCCCCCAAAACTCATGGAGATACTGTGGAAGAGGGGGAAGGAAGAGTTTCATCTAATTAGTCGATATTCTGAATAATTTGTATCTATTACACATAAAAAACAGAAATGCCTATTGTACACAATTTATTCCTGGTGATAATAAATTATAACTCATTTGCAAAGTGTCTTCAAAGCAGGTAGACACATTTTTTTTCAGAATCACAGTCATGTTCATAAGTATTGCTACACTTACACTCATTTCTGATTTTTAAAAAAGGTTCAGAATGGACAAGTTTCAACCATAGTCCTCTAAGAACACGCTTCACTACCCTCTGTGTGCTCTTCAGCCCTGGCCATATCTGATTTCAGTGTAAATGAATCTACTGCACTTTAAGTAATAAAGAACACATTCCAGTTACCACTGAAAAGATATTTCACCAGTCTTCCTGTTAGTATGAGTCACAGCAGAGAATTTGATGATTTGTGAGAAGAAACCACAGTCCACTAATAAGCACTCAAAACATTTATGCACAAGAGAGTAGAATCAGCAACAAATATTATTCTCAATTTTTCTTTGAGTACCTACTATGTAGTAGCACTAGTTCAGGTTTTGTGGTACTACTTTAAAAAGCATAGGATATAATGCCTGACCTTAAGGAGTGTTTAATCTGTAATTTTCTTTAAAAAGGAGTCAGCATTTTTTTATAGGTACTCTGCTGTTGAGACTTGAAAAAGCAATCCAAAATAGCTTAGTCTTAGAACCAACACAAATGACATTAATACTCAAATTTTACCAAGTCCAAGCCTCCCACTTTGCTTGACCATAGGAAGTCCAAGTTTTCAGAATATCTCTTTCACAGCTATTTCCTGGAAMCTGCAGAGGTACCTACAAATGCCCACACAAAAGAGCTGCAGAACCCATTCTTGGGTAGAAAAGTTGTTTGAGCCTGGAAGTGCTAAGTGGTTAGTCCAGATAGTTCTTTCATTTGCCTCCTTATTAAGCAGTTTATATACTGACAACATGCAGGGGTCACAACATTCTGTCAATGATGGACATTTAGTTGCCCCAAAAATGACTTTGAAAAATGACAGGTATGTTGCCTGAACCCAGGAGTAGTCAAGATCCAAATCTCCTATTCCAAGAGTCTGCTTGACGACCTTGCAAATCAGTGCCTATGTCATCAGAATCACCTAAGCCCAGCTCTAACCCAGCAAAGTGCTGTTACATCAACCAACCAACACTGGGAATGTAACTACCACTCAATACGACGTGAGTGGTCATAAATGATGAACCAATGTGACCATAAGCCTGCTGAAAATATAAAAAGTCTTCTTGAAGCAAATTGATATTTTCACTTGTCAGTTACTCAATTAAGGTAGGATGGAAGTTATGTGACCAAAAGACTATTTAAAGTGATCAGCACAAGAGAAAAGTCATATTTAAAGTCTACAAAAAATTAATGTTTACATGCAGCTTTTCTTTTCTCAAAAAAATTTCATTTTAGCATCTTATGTGCCCAGAGTCAGAAACCAGCAGCAATTAACTGGAAATAACCTGCTTAAGGGATTTTAAAGATTGAACATAGCAATTTGAACACAATTTAGTTCTGAAAGGGATGAAATCCTGTAACAATGGAGGAACATTAAAAGGAACATTTTATGAGCAAATGCAATGTGACAAATACTGAGCTGCTTGCTGTACATGTCTTGTCTCACAGGATCAAACAATGCTGGGAGGTAGGTACTATAATGACCTCCACTCTACAGATGTGAACACAAGGCATCTAAGGCTCACCGCCACCCAGGGGGCTTCATCCTGGGATTTGACTTCTTTTGAATTTGACCAGTTCTGTTCTTAGAAGATTATTTAACCTTACCACCTTGTCTGTAAAATGGGAAAATGAAACCTACTTCCCAGGATGTGGTGAGGATTCTCCAAGATTTACAAGAGTCCAATACAGTGCTGTCATCCTGTGAGGAGGAGGATCTGTTTGCTGCATTTTCCATCTCTGGGGCRTTGTGGGCAGTGCCACATATGAGGAAGGCCAGTATCTTTATCAGTGATTACATGATTTGGGCATGAAAAGAGTAGGACATCATCACTGACTTCTGAAAAGAAGGTTTACACAATTAAATTTATTTTAATTACTACCTAGACCATTTTTGCCTTTGTCCAAAATTGGAAAATAATGATTATCTACAGGTTTTCTCTCTCTCCCTCCCTTCCTTCCTTCTTCCCCCCCACCCCTTGTCATTAGATTATCTCAATAACAGATGCATCCTTCCTTCTTATCATGGTTTCCTGGAACATGTTTTTTCTCTTTGATTCTTTAGTATTGTCATATTCTATCTTTTAATATATTCAAAAAAGTGACTTCTATTCCTTTCTATGCTCAACCTGATTCCATGTATGATAAGAAAACAAACATAATGTATAAACTCACGATATCCACTCTACATGTCATAATTTGTTACTATTTAGGCAAAAATCCTCATGAAATACTTGGTATATGCCTCTGAATCTATTTACTTCATAGCTACATTTTTCTTGTTTGCTCCAATATGACCATTCTGTTTAAAAATCTAATGGCAATCCAGTATCCTAAGTAAACTACCACATCCACCTCTTGATTCATCCATCTCTGTACGTTGCTCTGAGGGAAAACTCCATTTCTTTTGGAGCAAGTACCAGACCAGTGTCCTAAGTACAGAGGTCATGGAATTCCAATAGGGTAGGCTGCCAATGGCTTTATCTAAATAACACTATAATGAATGGATAATGGATTACTGATCTCTAAAACGATTCCTCTTCAGTGGAAAGGCAGAGGTGAGGTCTTAGGAAGGAGAGAGAAAATGTTGTTTTCYCCAGAGCAGTGTCCAAATGTACCAGAATTCTTGGGGGAGCTTGTAAAACATAGAGTCCTGAACCCCTTAAGTAAATTTTTATATCAGATAGCTATTCTAATTTGGTAGGTCAGAACAGGTTTAAAAATCTATATATCCTTAAGGCTAATTTTAATGATAGTATGCATATAGTTCTAGTAGGATTTTTAATAGCCCCTAGTTGGTAATAACTAAATGTTCATC